GCCATTGGGGTGGGGGAAACGGCTAAAAGGGAGAGAACGGCCGCGTCAAACGAATGACGCAACGCCTCTAACGCCCAGGTAACGCCGCAAGGGGCGGTGTTTAACGCCGAATGAGCGTGAAACGCCCCCTCACGCGGGTCGGCGTTAGAGGCATTTCCAGTGCCCTGATGATTCATTCGTAATACGAAGTATAAAAAATAGTTTGCAATTTTTTCTACGGAATATTAAAATTAACCTAGGGAGGATTTTTAGGTGATTTATTTAATAATTGATGTAGATTTGAGCTATATAAGAGCATTGACAATGGCAAGACAAAAATGAAATGTCACACGGTAATTTAGAAAATAAATAAAAATAAAGCAAGAAATTAAGATAAAATAAAAAATAAGCTCTAACTCATGGTAATTTTTTGTTGACCCCTATGGTAAATTGGAATTTTATAGACCTTGGTAATGACTACACAGAATTTTCATACTACCTCCTGAACCAAGTGCACCAAAAAAAAGTACACGCTAGAAGAGTCACAAAGTGAAGGGCGACAAGCCGATGACCGAGGCGGCACGGTCCATTCAAAAGTGGATGTCGGAGGATGAATCGTTGTTGGGGTCAGCTTGTGTTGATGTCTCCGAGCATCCTATCTTTGGTAAAGTTTATATGTTTTTAAATATATTTGTGTTCTTATTTATATATTTGTGTTAAAATATTTTTTCCCGTTCAATTATATACTTTTTAAGGGTTCCCAGCAAACGAAAGATACGATGTATGATCCCATCGAGGAAAAGTTCTTCGTGGCGATGAACACGGACACCTCGTACAGTACCCGAGACCAACTCACTTCTAAACGGGGCCACATACATCAACCGTAAAGTCCGAGAGTTTATCAGAATTTACGAGGAATGCTTCGGTCTTGGAAGAGCAGGATGAACGATGCTGCTGTTTTGCGGCAATCCATCACCCGGTATCAAGGCGACGGGCACCAAGGCAAGGTCCCCATTGATCTTAGGAGAATTTCAAACCGTTCACCTAAATGGCAACAACTCAACAACCATGAGCACGGATCCTCAAAGAAAAGATCCTCCGTCGAGGCCGAGGTTGAGGTCGATGATACTTTCGATTTGTCTGAACAAAGGCCTCCCTTCAACGTAGAGGATTCCGGTGATGAGGACCCTATTCCACAACCGATCAGAAGAAAGAAGGCAAAATTCATTGCCTTGGATTCTGGAGGGCCCGTCTCTATTTCCTCTCACAATAATATCGGTCGGGCAATAGTTGAACAACTTCGGGTGTTCAATATTAGAGAACAAGAGAGGGAGAAACGAAAGCAACAGAAAAAATAGATTGAAATAATGGAAACTGACATTGATATGTAATCGAGCTCCAAACTTATGCTTTACGAGAGAAGACAAAAAAATATTAAGGCTAAATGTAATTTGTCTTAGTTTTTTTATCAATGTATTTTTTATTAAATGTCATTTTTGTTGAATATAATTTTTATGAATTATTGTTGTTTTAATTTTTTATTTAATGAATGTAATTTTGTTATGAATTATTCTCGTTTCAATTCAATTAAATAATTAAATAATTAAATTATATTAATTTTAGTGAATCTTTGAGGTAAGTTAAAGCTGAGATAAGTTGAAGTCACGGGACTTCACGGGTATTAATAGGGCTCTTAGTATCATTCCCCACCCTTATGTTGATTCGATAAAACGATTCTTCTCTTCTTTATTATTAAAAAATATTAATTCACTTTAATTTATTTGAGTCCTTGTGAGGGCGGATGTATTGACTAGTTAAGCGTTATTCGGTAGAAATAAGTACGAAGAGATACTATATTCTTATCAAATCAATAACATATTGTTCTAATATTTGGCTAATATAAACATATCGTGTTTGTATTAAAGTAATTTAAAACATAAATTTATCATTCATAAGATTTTACTTTTTAAAATTTGTTGTAAGTTTAAATTTATACTAAGAAGCTAGATATTATAAATTAAGAAATCATCTATTTCTGCTCAACTGTTTATTCTTTCTTGAAATATAATATCAAACTCGAAAATAAGTTTTATATTTGAAAAAATGTGAGAAATTTTACACAAATATTGTTTGTTGACATACATAAAATGACAAGAGATTACTCCCTCCATTTATAGGGTTAAACTTTATTTATCTATTATTGTTATTTGTCTGATCAAATAATCAAATCATGTCACCTCTATTTTTAAAGTTTTTTAGATTTAATTTTTAAATATATATTTTTATTTTTTATTCCATACCAATTATTGTACAAAATCAATAAAAAATAATTTAAGTCAAACATTGCAATGGAAGAAAATTTGTGGATGGAGAGAGTATTTATTAAAAACTAATTTCTAAGCTCAAATAGATCAAAGTAAAATTAATTAAAACTTGGTACTATAAAGAATTAGAAACAGTTTTTAAACATATTTTCTATAAAAATGTTCATACATCCAAAATCCGTGTGTAATTGTTAAGATTAATTAAAATCTTTAATGCTGGATTAATTAGTTTTTTATAAGGTAATTATCAGAAACGGGTTAGATTATAGTTGTAAAAGTTTGAAAAAACTAAAAGAATCTAGAAAAATTTAGAAAGAAAGGTAAGAAGTTAGAAAATAGTGAAGCATAGTGATGCATTTTGGTTGGGGAGAGGGGATATTTTCTTAGAAAATTAATTTCTATGGAAGAATGTTTTTCTCCGAAGGTTTTTTTCTCTAACCTTTTCAGATTTTTTGGTAAAAAGAATTGAATTTTATCTAAAAATCACTTCTCATTATTTGTCAGGATTTTTTTATATTAGTACGTCGTTGATATTTGAATAAAGAACAAAGATGTTTTAAGACAACTTAAAAATATTTCTACCTGCATAATTTTTTTTATATTTGATTGCTACCAAACTTTCATTATTGAGCTTCATTCTCTACAATTTGGGATGCGGTGTAGTGTGGGGGGGGGGGGGGGGGGGGGGG